TGAGTGAGTGAGTTATAGTGATTGAGTGAGTTGTGGTGAATGAGTGAGTTGTAGTGAATGAGAGAGTGAGTTGTAGTGAATCAGTGAATGAGTTGTGGTGAATGAGTGAGTTGTAGTGAGTGAGTGAGTGAGTGAGTGAGTGAGTGAGTGAGTGAGTGAGTGAGTGAGTGAGTGAGTGAGTTGTAATAAAGTGATGAGTAAAATCGGCCACAGAAGACCAGCCGAAGGAGACCCACGTTCCATCTGTGTTTGCCCTCTCCCTCTCTCTCTATCCGGTTGCTAATTGCTAACCTTTGTGCACCGGTGTTGTGTCAGTATTCCGGTCGGTTCCGTTGTTGAAGCGCGTTTCTCCAACGCTCCGCACCGCTCAAGCGGGAAAAATATGCACACTCATCACAAGCTTGCTTCCGCTGTACGATCTGCTCACACAACAGACAGAATAATTCGCACTGTACATATACTTGGGCTGCAGGATATTAGGAAAACCTGTGATATGCGATAACAGTGATTGATACTGCAATGACGATATTACTTGCAATCAGTGTTGGGCAAGTTACTTCAAAACTGTAATGCATTATTTATTACTTGTTACCCTCATATTAAAGTAATTCATTACATTACAATATTACTGATTTTAAAATGTAAGGCATTACACTACTTTTGCATTACTTTAAGCTACTTTCACCAAAACAACTTCAGTATGAATCTGGTCATGTGACGCTCAGTGAGCTCATGACATATATGTGGAAGGTGATGTGGTGTCTGAGCTAGGATTGCTGTTAAAAACAGTCAGATATAATAACAGTTCTTTATTAAATAAAAGCAACAACGATCTGTACTCTCAACACGCTGCCATCTTATATTAACTGAGCAGGGAGTGAGGTGGTGGGGGCTCCAAGCCTATATTTGCCTTGGTCCCCAAATGCCTTGATACGGCCCTGGATGTGGGACTGACTTTGGGGTGATCTGATTCTATCACATGTATAAATATTAAATGCTTATATATTATTGCTTTTCACTGGTAAAAATGAGTATTGGGGATAAATCTACCTACTTTTTTCTTTTCAAGCACTTTGTTTTGTTTTCTTGATTTTATTTGAATAATTTCTGCCCTTTCTCTCTCTAACCTCCCTGCATGCTGCATGTTTTCTCCATCTTCCAGAAAAAAACTGTTTCCTAGACTTCCTACTTTCTAACTAATCATCCAAAGGGATCTTCACATGCGCGGCGCTCCAGCAGTAATGAGTTGAAATCACCGGGGCACAGATTATGAACTCAGCTGAGACAAAGCACGTCAGAAAAGCACAAAATACCAGAGAATATGCGCTGATATGAACGATCGCAGGTGAATTATTTTGTTTTAGTGGAGCGATTTTGTGAATGTTACAGCGGCCGCGTGCAGGACGCAGCTGGAGTAGCTGAGCCGTTACCGCGGCGTCCTCTCTGCCCGCAAAGCTGAGTCCATAAATGACGTAATATATGCAGAATGTAACTTTCTTCGGGTTTCCCACAATTTGAATTTTTAAGGAACACATCTTGATTCTGGGTTTAAAAATGCATTGTAATTACCGCGTTACTGACAATTGTACCGAGTAAATATTACCATTTTCCTTCCCTGTAATGCCTTACATTACCACATTACATCAAAAGCAATGCATTACAGTAATTAATTACTTTTGTACCGCATTACTCCCAACACTGCTTGCAATAAATAAAAACTTAACTCAGGAACAAAAATAAAAGCAGAATCAGCAGACAGAGCAGAACTAAACTAACTCAGGTGTTTGCTAACCATCAACATTAGGTGCCGTCCACCTCGGGGGCGGGACTCTAGCCTATGAGAACCCACCCAATTGGCTGAATGGTTGAAGAGCTCTTGTTGATGTGTTAAAAACATCATGCTTCTGCTTGATTGACAGAATGCATCATGTGTAGCAAACATCTGAGCTGACCATTCATTACGATGTTTATCTGTTCTTTGTGATATGCATATTGTGCATGGTAATATCGCGATAACGATATATTTGCAATATATTGTGCAGCCATATATATATATATATATATATATATATATATATATATATATATATGCACGTGGAGGGGGGGGGGGTTGCGGAGGGTGCTTGAGACCCTGCCCCTTTTGTCCCATGTGCCCAAAGTGCCCTTTTTGAGGTTTAATGATTTTTTTTTTTTAAAGAATTTTCTGTTTGTGCCCCCTCAACAATAACAAAAATAGTAATTAATACAATTTCAGCTTAATAAAGTTATATAGCTGGCGTGAGTCAGAGCGCACAGCCGGTCACAACAAGCTGCGAGCACCCACGTTTTCTTCATGGCCGAGCGAGCGGTGCAGAGCCTTTAGGACATACGTATTGATTGGGAGAAACGGACTAACACCGGTAAGTAGGATGCACACTACTATACAAAGTTATTAGATTATTTTGTACATTATTAAGTTGTTTTGTTTATGTTTATGTTTATGTGCTTAGCAGACGCTTTTACCCAAAGCAACTTACAAATTTTTTTTTTAACCTATAGGGCGTGTTGTGATCTGTGGGGGAAACCGGAGTACCCGGAGGAAACCCACGCATGCATGGGGAGAACACGCAACTCCACGCAGAAAGGCCGCAGCCGAGTTTCGAACCTGTGACCTTCGTGTTGCGAGGCAACAGTGCTAACCACTGCACCACCATGCAGTTTTGTGGCACTAGGTGTGTGTGATATGTTACTAGCTGGGTGTGTGTCCGTGGCTGGGTACCGATTCTGAACCTCAGTAGCTTTAGGATTAACCAAAAACATTCTGTACATAAGTACTTGTACGAAAATATTTTTTCAACCTTAAATATTGGGAATTTGCCAATAAAATGTCGTTGTTGTTAACTAGGTACCGCAAAGTTGCATTCCTATCGCTGCTGCGTGTCACGTGACTGGGGTCTCACGCAGCCCTGCTTCTTGTTTACACAGTCACTTCCTGGTTCGCGGACTAATAAAACTTGAACAAATTTTAAATTTAGCTACCTTTTGTGAAAGGAAATAAGAAAAATACTAAAGGTAACATCCGTCACAAGTTTTGTGTTACTAAATATTCAGTCCTTGTCTGTAAACTCTGTCCAGCGTTTTAGGGAACGTAGTTTTGTTTTAGATTTGAAGGTTTCTCAGCCCTTCTGGTGGGTTTTATAGTTCACTAACACTATGCATATTCTCACAATGTTGGAGTTTATATTTGCTCTCTTTGTGAATGCATTGTATTAAAAACATTCTGTTTTAAAGATGTACATTTAAAAAAACTACAGTTTTCACAGCAAAATTATTTTATCTGTACAGTTCTCTGTTTTGCACAAAGTAGATAGTAAAACTGAATGAAAGCATAAACATTGTTTTATTCTTTATTTTTATTATAATTACTAAAGCACTATGATTAAAATAGTATGGAAATATTCTGGATCAGCATCATGAAGCAAATTATATACAGTTAGTTTTCTGGAAAAGGAATGAAATGTCCCAGTATGTGTATGCATGAGGTTTATATGCATGAAAACATATTTGTAAATTAATTATGATATATCATTGTACAGACATGCTTCGTAAGGAGAGGAGGCGGAAGCAGCGACAGAAGGAGCTACGTGAGGCAGCTAAAGGCAGTGGGTCCCTCACCAGCTGGATAAAAACAGAGTACAGGTAAGTTGCATCACAGCAACAATAATATACACAACTCATCATGGATCATGGATTAGGTGCAAGACCTGTTGAATGTGAATAACTCCATAATTCATTCATACAATAGCTAATGTTGCCTTGTTCTCAGATGGACAGCAAGTGGAGAGTGATAGATCACATGAGGAGACTGAAGACACACACACACACACACACACACACACACACACACACAACTCTTTCTGGTTATATTTCTGTCACATTCTTATCTCTGACATGAACTCTTCTATTATCCACTAATGTTTAGATTTCCATTTATTCACCACAGGTGTTGTCTCAGATATTTCTGTCTTACACTTCTAAGAGTTTTCACCAATTTTTGCCATTTTTTATGATCTTACATTAATTTTGTAATTGACTAACATTTCTCCTCTGCTCGTTATACTACCTGCAGTCTGAGACCAACACAGCCTTGCCCTCCAGCATCACCAGCAGCAGCAAGAGGAGCGACCCTGCAACAGCTACACTGTACCCCATCATCAGGTAACATAGGACAGCAATAGATCAGGAGGTGGAGCAGGTTGTCCAGTAATAAGAAGGTTGCAGGTTTGATCCTGACTGTAATCAGAGATTGATGCTGTTGTGTCCTTGGGCAAGACACTTAACCTGCTTTGCCTGCTGGTGGTGGTCGGAGGGACTGGTGGCGCCTGTGCTCAGCAGCTTCACCTCTGTCAGTGCGCTCCAGAGCAGCTGTGGCTACATCATAGCTCATCACCATCAGTGTGTTAATGTGTGTGTGTGTGTGAATGATTGTGTTGTAAGGTGCCTTGGGGGGTTGTAGAACCCTAAGAAGGCATTATACAAATACAGACCATTTACCAAAACAAGTTACTTTAGCTTTACATTGTCCTTATGTGGTAAGGGTGTATATAATGATGTGCTTCCATTTTGAATTTCTAATAAATATGATTTGTTATTCAGCCGGGTATACTGTGGTTATGTCATGGTGTTTGAAAATATTATTCTGTGTGCCCCTTTTTAGATTTGATCACCGCCCCTTCAGAGGTCTCTGCACAGCCCTGTCAGTTTGACCCAGCTAAAGCTTGTTCATGTACAGTATATGTTAGTGTGTGTACACTGTGATTGTTGTGCTTGCAATTGAGATAATAAATGTTCTCCCTTTTATGTAAACAAGTGCACATCTCAATAGTTTTTTCTTGTTTTGTAGGCTTTGTACTCGTCTTTAGACATTTTAGCTATGCAATGCCCCAAGTATCGTTTTTAAATATATACACGGCATGTTTATTGGGTTACATTTTATCTACAAAAATATAGAGGGCCCTGAAATGTCGGTTTTCATAGGCCCGGGATTTCTGGCGCCGTTAGGTGGTTTTATTGTATTTAGGAAATGTATTAACGGTGGCAGTGTGCTGCTGCAGCTCTGCCCTTCACTGAAGGACGCCATGATGCTGCAGCCTCCATCCTCCCACCGACACCAGACCCCAGAAATGATGGGCTGCCTTCCTTCGGGTGTTTTCATGTTGGCACCATAAGGACACGGCCATGTTTTATATTTAACGTTGGGAATAACGATCCCCGCTCACGTTAAAAACACAACAGATCGTTAGTGAACGTCTCACGAAGCGTTTACTGACCTTAGCTCAGTCTTGTTCCCGGGACACCGTCAGGAACACCGGGATGCTAGATGCTGCGGTTCATGCCTCTGAGGCTCTCGAGCAAAGAACAGCCAGCCGGATACTTACTGTCAAAATAAAAGACCACGCACTTGTTGAAAAAAAAGGTAAATTATCTTACCCGATTAATCAAACATTCAAATAACATCAACACATTTAAATGTATTGTGTTGTTACTCTGGTCTTTATTGTATTTTTGTTTTTTACTAAATGCAGACAATCAAATAAATCAGCATTAAGTTTACGTATTTTGAAAAACCACACCGGAACCCTATTTTAAATCCCTCTTTATACGTCATCGCCGCAGACACGGATGGCACGCACTAAGCGGAGATTTCAGGCTGACGGTTTCACACACACACACACACACACGCACGCACGCACGCACACACACACACACACACACGGCCCACTTATGAATTTGTAGGATGTTCGGCTGCAGGTTGCAGGAGCAACGAGAGTTGACGTCACTTCTCCCGGCACGCAACAGTTCAAATCGAATGGCGCAGGTGTTATGTTGATATGTGTTCCCCCCTCGACATCTGTTTCTTTTGCACCCACCTGCGAGTTTGAAGTATCCACTCGCAAAAAATGTGTGTCCTTACCCTAACCATAACCCTAAAACAAACATTAAAGTTATGCTACACATACTGTTTTCTAAAATTATATTCATTCAAAACATAAATTTTTTGGTGACAGGGTGGTTATGGTTTTGAAATGGTTTGGCCCCTCCTTACTTGGTGTCACTGCTTCAACCGTACACCACTGCACGGTCACTCCGCTCGGAGAACCTCACGCTCCTCAGTCCCAAGATCGCGCCTAAAGACTGGTGATAGGGCCTTTGCTGTTGCAGGTCCTATGATTGGAGCTTCCTCTCAGCATAAGGGCCTTCTGTTGCGGTGTCGGTACAGGATCTGCTCGGGTGCAAAATCGGCTCGGGGTCCTTCGACTGCCGATGACGTCAAAGTACGGCAAACCGACTCGGACAAAATACACTACACCTCTATACTGTTGGAAAGAATTTAGCACTTTCGTTATTAAAATAACGTTTCTTAAACACAAAATGCAGTTTGGAATTGATGGTTTTAATTATTTAGGGAGAGAACAAAATCCAAACCTACATTGCCCTGTGTGAAACAGTAATTGCCCCCTGAACCTAATAACTGGTTGGGCCTCCCTTAGCAGCAACAACTGCAATCAAGCGTTTGCGATAACTTGCTACGAGTCTTTTACAGCGCTCTGGAGGAATTTTGGCCCACTCATCTTGGCAGAATTGTTGTAATTCGGCTTTATTTGAGGGTTTTCTAGCATGAACTGCCTTTTTAAGGTCATGCCATAGCATCTCAATAGGATTCAGGTCAGGACTTTGACTAGGCCACTCCAAAGTCTTCATTTTGTTGTTCTTCAGCCATTCAGAGGTGGATTTGCTGGTGTGTTTTGGGTCATTGTCCTGCTGCAGCACCCAAGATGGCTTCAGCTTTAGTTGACAAACAGATGGCCGGACGTTCTCCTTCAGGATGTTTTGGTAGACGGTAGAATTCATGGTTCCATTTATCACAGCAAGCCTTCCAGTTCCTGAAGCAGCAAAACAACCCCAGACCATCACACTACCACCACCATATTTTACTGTTGGTATGATGTTCTTTGTCTGAAATGCTGTGTTACTTCTACGCCAGATGGAACGGGACATTTGCCTTCCAAAAAGTTCAACTGTTGTCTCTTCAGTCCACAAGATATTTTCCCAAAGGTCTTGGCAATCATTGAGATGTTTCTTAGCAAAACTGAGACGAGCCCTAATGTTCTTTTTGCTTAACAGTGGTTTGCGTCTTGGAAATCTGCCATGCAGGCCATTTTTGCCCAGTCTCTTTCTGATGGTGGAGTCGTGAACACTGACCTTAATTGAGGCAAGTGAGGCCTGCAGTTCTTTAGAAGTTGTCCTGGGGTCTTTGACCTCTCGGATGAGTCGTCTCTGCGCTCTCGGGGTAATTTTGGTCGGCCGCCCACTCCTGGGAAGGGTCACCACTGTTCCATGTTGTTGCCATTTGTGGATAATGGCTCTCACTGTGGTTCGCTGGAGTCCCAAAGCTTTAGAAATGGTTTTATAACCTTTACCAGACTGATGGATCTCAATGACTTTTGTTCTCATTTGTTCTTGAATTTCTTTGGATCTTGGCATGATGTCTAGCTTTTGAGGTGCTTTTGGTCTACTTCTCTGTGTCAGGCAGCTCATATTTCAGTGATTTCTTGATTGAAACAGGCGTGGCAGTAATCAGGCTCGGGGGTGGCTACAGAAATTGAACTTGGGTTATTTTTTAACAAGGGGGGCAATTACTTTTTCACACAGGGCAATGTAGGTTTGGATTTTGTTCTCTCCCTAAATAATAAAAACCATCATTTCAAAACTGCATTTTGTGTTTACTTGTGTTATCTTTGACTAACGGTTAAATGTGTTTGATGATCAGAAACATTTTGTGTGACAAACATGCAAAAGAATAAGAAATCAGGAAGGGGGCAAATAGTTTTTCACACTACTGTATGTTTTAACACATTTAAGACATCCGTAAGTAATGTTATTAATGTGAAAATAAACTAAATTGTGTTTATTACAGTTCAAAATGATTATTATTATTTTTAAATGCAATTACGCACAAAAAAGTTATTTCAGTTAGATGGAACTATTGTCAATTATTTAATGGTTTGGTGTAATGCTTCACCAGCAATTAAACAATTTTATGTTGCTTTAATAAAAATCTGGCATTTCTAACTTCTAATAAAAATTTACACATGCAATGTGATTTAAAGGCACGTTTTGAATCTACAGATGCATTTAAACACCCATCCTTTAGAGGACACTGTCTCAAACAATACAAGCCTGAATCAGCAGTCGACCTGAAAAGGCGCCATGATTCGGGTCAGGATATGAAGCAAAAAAGGAAGTGACAAAAATTGCAGTTCCACCCTCATCCACTAGGGGCTGGTGTCGGAAGCGAGCAAATCCTCATTGACTCCCATGTTAAAAATACCAATTTCACAACAGAAATAAACATGTTTACAGCCTGGTTCCAAAACATGTTTTAGGTTTAATAAATCTAGATTATACTCATGACAACTCTGAGGGGGGTGTATGTTTTGTCACTCTTCTGTTTAAGTGTATTAAAAGCCTAAAATTCTGTATAATTAATGAGCATCAGACCCACGTGACCGCAGAGCTAGCTCCGGGGAAAGGCCTCAGCCTGAGCCTCGGCCTCGCCGGAAAACTGTTCCGTGATTTTCAGTCTCTCAACTTAGACCACTAGTTGTAGCGTTTATGTGTTCTTGTTTGGATATTATTTGTGCAATTGTTGGACAAAATGACTTGCTGTGGTATTAATTGCACTAATAGAGCATCCAAGGAGTCTCCACTTCATTTTTTTCGGTAAGTAAATTTATATTTATGTATTTTAGGTCACTGCCGTTCTTGCCCTACCTGAGCTTAGATTTTAACATGTACTGTTTAAACATGAAATTTAAATGTAATAGGGTAAAACCCAGTGCATTTAACATAATGCTGCACTTTAGAAAATGGGTTGAAATATAACATGTTGGTGGAGCTGGGTTCCGACTATCGGTATGTTCCCCTCCCTTCAGTGTGGGCTGCCGGTTTGTGGTAGCCTGGCAAGCCAGACTAAATAAATGTATTATTTAGTCTGGCCACGCTCCATTGACGGCTCTCGGTTGTGGGGCGGGTTCTACCGTTGTCTTTCAAATGATCTCTGCATTCCACTTGACAAAGAATGTGACATACTCTTGTTTCACTCTGTTGCATCATCCCACCCACCAGGCATATAGAGTGCCCTGATTGGCCCACAAAGCGGATAAAGCTCTGCGATTCGTTCACTAAGCAGATAGAGCACTATGATTGGTCCACCATTATGGACCAATCACAGCTCTTTATGTGTTTGAAACCCCTCTAGAGAGCTGTGATTGGCTAGCCAGAGTCCTGGTAGGAGCTGTGGAGGTTCCAATGGAGCATGCCTAGACCAAACTTTGCAAAGCAAGAATATGGTCTAGTTCACTAGGCTAGGTTTGTGGAGCTCTCAGATGGAAATCGATGCTTTCCACCCAGTTCTCCCCAGCGGCAGCTCGGTGCATCTCTGACTCAGAAAGTCTGGTGTTGTGCACAGTTAACTCTGGTTGTAGCTAGGTAGCTACCTGCATTAGCTTAGCTCCCACCTCCGCGTTAGCATTGGGTTAGATGTAGCTACATCGCTTCAGTTCGACGGGTGTCGTCATTGGATCCCAGCCTTACAGCCTCACCCTCAGCTCCACCTCTTTTCCCTTTTATGGAATTGTCTCGGTGTGGCAAGACATGTGACCCAATCAAAATGGCGGTGGTGGCCACCTCCCATTTCTGATTAAAAACTTATAATACGAGCCTATGGACACGAACTGTTCAGTATATAAATGTCGATGGACCTGAATCTGTGGTTTCCGGGTCTGTAGCCATACACTATTGCCTTTGTTTGGAGACCTGAGCGCTACTTCCGCATTCCCCCTAGGCCACGATGTGGTGCAGTTTCTCCATCCAAGTTTTTTAATGTCTGTTTATCCTCATTCTTCAGAGGTTTCTCCTCCTCTTTCCTTCATAAGGTGTTTTTATAAATACTGTAGAGCAAACCCTGCTAATTCACATCCACGTCTACCTTATAGTTTCTGCTTCCTCCACCTCACTTAGCATGGCTCTATTAAATACCCGCTCTGTTAACACAATATAGTGATGGTGTGGTCTTTGCTCAGTGATGCAACTGCCTTCTTTTCTAAATATAACCTGAGAACCTTCACATACAGAGTGGGCTTTATATTTAGACCACACCATCACTATGTACCCAGCTGATAAGGGAAGGTGCACCGTGGTCCTAAACACAATTGATTACCACGCAAAGATCACTACTCTCCTCAGTGACAACAACACCTACGAAGCCTTAAAGCGAGGCCCCACAAGCAGCTACAAAAAGAAAGTTATAGCTTGCCTTCAAGGCCTTGAAAGGGACAAAACCATCAACCGCCTCACATATCACCGCCTTTATCCAGGGGATGCCATACCCTGCATCTACGGACTTCCCAAGATCCACAAGGAAGGTATCCCTCTCAGGCCCATTGTCAGTAGCATAAAATCAGTCACCTACAACATTGCAAAACACCTTGCTACCATCCTTGCACCTCTGGTGGGGAACACCCCACACCACATCAAGAACTCCACCGACTTCACTGACAAGGTCCAGAAACTTACCCTGGATCCAGATGAAACCATGGTGTCCTTTGACGTAGTCTCCCTCTTCACTTGCATACCCACTACGGAGGTAGTGGAGACTGTCAGAAAACAACTACAAGAAGACAGCACCTTGGAGGACAGGACCAACTTCACACCCGATCAGATTTGCACACTGTTAGACCTCTGCCTCACCACTACATATTTCAAATACAACGAAGGTTTCTACAGACAAAAACATGACTGCGCCATGGGCTCCCCCGTGTCACCTATTGTAGCCAACCTTTACATGGAGGAAGTGGAAAGAAAGGTGCTTGGCTCTTTCAAAGGGAGATCACCCAGCCACTGGTACAGATATGTGGATGACACCTGGGTCAAAATCAAAACACAAGAAGTGGAATCCTTCACTATGCACATCAACGCCGTGGACAAAAACATCAAGTTCACCAGGGAAAACATAAAGGACAACTGCTTGCCTTTCCTGGACTGCGCTGTGCACTTTGAAGAAAATGGCAACCTCAACATTGAAGTGTACCGGAAGCCCACACACACGGACCAGTACCTCCTCTTCGACTCACATCACCCTCTGGAACACAAACTTGGAGTAATCAAGACCTTACACCACCGGGCAGAACATGTTCCCTCTAAGCCGGAAGGGAAAAAGAAGGAACGCACACATATAAAGGAATCACTTAAAACATGTGGCTATCCTAATTGGGCGTTTATAAAGTCAGCAAAGATGCACAGAAAAGAGGATCAGACACCAGCGAGGGAGGATAAGAAAGACAGATGCAACAACCTTGTCATCCCCTATGTAGCCGGTGTATCAGAGAAACTCAGGAGGGTTTTCTCCAAACACAACATACCAGTGTACTTCAGACCCAGCAACACACTCAGACAGAAACTGGTTCACCCGAAAGACAAAACTGCTAAACACAAACTGAACAATGTGGTGTATGCTGTACAGTGCAGCGAAGGATGCCCAGACCTCTACATCGGAGAAACCAAGCCACTTCACAAGCGCATGGCACAACATAGAAGAGCCACCTCCACGGGACAGGACTCAGCAGTTCATTTGCATCAAAAGGACAAAGGTCACTCTTTCGAGGATGCCAACGTTCACATTTTGGACAGAGAGGACAGATGGTTTGAAAGAGGAGTAAAGGAAGCCATTTATGTCCACTGTGAACAACCATCTTTGAACAGAGGCGGTGGTTTACGACACCAACTGCCTGCCATCTATAATCCAGTTTTGAGATCCCTTCCCAGATGCCTCAACGCCCACGCATATCATGGGCCATATAACCTCAGGAATTCACATGATAGGGTGGGGCCAGGCTTCACAATGAGCTCACCCGAAACTCTGGCTGAATAGGACCCACACCCACCCTCACACCTTGGCTCATGTGTTTATGTAGAAGATCATCAGGGGGTCTTTTGTTCCCTCTTCGGGGGGAAACTCCCACTGGGTTTGAATCTGGGACTCTCCACCATTTGACCTTAGAACTGAAGAAGCCTCTCAGATGAGAGGTGAAACGTCTTCCAGCAACTCAAAGAAGTCCAGACGCTTTTCTTTCAAAGCTCCTTAGACTATAAAGCCCACTCCTTAAAAAAAAATATCAATAAAACCTTCGTCTTTAAGCAGTGATGTATTAAACCTCCAGTTTTTGTTTGGTGGGATTGTCTTCTTATTTACCAGAGTTAATGAAACCAGAGCATGGTTGCTGACAGCTATGGGGTGTATCTCAGTGTCTGAAATGTCAGTCAACAATGAGCTGCTTACTAGAGAATAATCCAAACATGAATGAGAGTGATGGACGTGTGAGAAAAAAGTATACTCTCTACGATTAGGATGAAGAGATCGTCATGCATCACAAAGCCCAATCACTCATGTACTGTTTAACTATGTTAGTGGATTGCCAATTGCGCTGAGTCTAGAGCTGAAACAACTAATCAATTTAATCGATTATAATTGATTATTAAAATAGTTAACAACTTTTTTAGTCATCGATTAGTTGTTTAATGATCACATTTTACCGCATAAAGTCTATTTTTTACCACAATCTGACATCGGTTACAATCTGTTAAATTTGCAGCCAGTGTGTGGCAGTAATGAGCCACAGATCTACCAGTGGAGCTGTAGAAGAAGAAACGAGCGAATAAGTGCCCTCGGTTTTCATGACGTATCACGTTACTGACGCGCGTCTTGCTGTGAGAGATGGCGGAACAAGAAGAAATACGGAAGAAAAATAGAAGCGACAAAACTGAAGAGAAACCCCGGACAAAAACCTCACGAGTATGGGAGCCCTTCACTCTAGATGCCATGAAAAGACGGGTGACCTGCAAAATATGCAAAAATATGTATTACTTCTGTATGTGTTACTTCTGTATTTATTACTTCTGTATGTGTTACTTCTGTATGTGTTACTTCTGTATTTATTACTTCTGTAAGTTTTACTCCTGTATGTATTACGTCTGTTTGTATTACTTCTGCATGTGTTACTTCTGTATAAATTATGTCTGTATGTATTACTTCTGTATGTGTTACTTCTGTATATGTTACTTCTGTATTTATTACTTCTGTATGTGTTACTTCTGTATGTGTTACTTCTGTATTTATTACTTCTGTAAGTTTTACTCCTGTATGTATTACGTCTGTTTGTATTACTTCTGCATGTGTTACTTCTGTATATATTATGTCTGTATGTATTACTTCTGTATGTGCTACTTCTGTATTTATTACACCTGTATGTATTACATCCGTATGTATTACTTCTGTATGTGTTACTTTTGTATTTACTACTTCTGTAAGTTTTTTTCCTGTATGTATTACATCTGTATGTATTACTTCTGTATGTATTACCTCTGTATGTGCTACTTCTGTAATAATTACTTCTGTATGTATTACTTCTGTGTTACTTCTGTATTAATTACCTCTATATGTTACTTCTGTATTTATTACTTCTGTAAGTGTTACTCCTCTATGAATTACATCTGTATGAATTACTTCTGTACTATTACTTCTGCATGTGTTACTTCTGTTATAATTACTTCTGTGTATGATACTTCTGTATATTTTACTTCTTTATTAGTTACTTCTGTATGTGTTACTTCTGTGTATGTTACTTCTGTATTAATTACTTCTGTAAGTGTTACTCCTCTATGAATTACATCTGTATGAATTACTTCTGTACTATTACTTCTGCATGTGTTACTTCTGTTATAATTACTTCTGTGTATGATACTTCTGTATATTTTACTTCTTTATTAGTTACTTCTGTATGTGTTACTTCTGTATATATTACTTCTGTATATTTTACTTCTGTATTAATTACTTCTGTATGTGTTACTTCTGTATGTATTACTTCTGTATGTAACACTTCTGTATGTGTTACTTCTCTTTTAATTAATTCTGTGTGTTACTTCTGTATATTTTGCTTCTGTAGTAATTACTTTTGTATGTGTTACTTCTGTATATGTTACTTCTGTATTAATTACTTCTGTATGTGTTAATTCTGTTTTAATTACTTTTGTATATGTTGTTTCTGTATTAATTACTTCTGTATGTGTTAATTCTGTATATTTTACTTCTGTCTTAATAACTTCTGTGTGTATTACTTCTGTATTTATTACTTTTGTAAGTGTTACTCCTGTATGTGTTACATCTGTATGTATTACGTCTGTATTCATTACTTCTGTAAGTGTTACTTCTATATGTGTTACTTCTGTATTTATTACTTCTGTAAGTGTTACTCCAGTATGTACTACATCTGTATTAATTACTTCTGCATGTTTTACTTCTGTATGCATAACTTCTGTATGTATTACTTCTGTATGTGTTACTTCTGTTTTAATTACTTCTGTATGTTACTTCTGTATGTTACTTCTGTATTTATTACTTCTGTAAGTGTTACTCCAGTATGTACTACATCTGTATTAATTACTTCTGTATGTGTATCTTCTGTTTTAATTACTTCTGCATGTTTTACTTCTGTATGCATAACTTCTGTATTAATTACTTCTGTATGTGTAACTTCTGTATTAATTACTTCTGCATGTTTTACTTCTGTATGCATAACTTCTGTAGTCATTACTTTTGTATGTGTATCTTCTGTTTTAATTACTTCTGCATGTTTTACTTCTGTATGCATAACTTCTGTATGTATTACTTCTGTATGTGTAACTTCTGTATTAATTACTTCTGCATGTTTTACTTCTGTATGCATAACTTCTGTATGTATTACTTCTGTATGTGTAACTTCTGTATTAATTACTTCTGCATGTTTTACTTCTGTATGCATAACTTCTGTAGTCATTACTTTTGTATGTGTTACTTCTGTATATGTTACTTCTGTATTAATTACTTCTGTATGTGTTAATTCTGTTTTAATTACTTTTGTATATGTTGTTTCTGTATTAATTACTTCTGTATGTGTTAATTCTGTATATTTTACTTCTGTCTTAATTACTTCTGTGTGTATTACTTCTGTATATATTACTTCTGTATTTATTACTTCTGTATTTATTACTTTTGTAAGTGTTACTCCTGTATGTGTTACATTTGTATGTATTACGTCTGTATTCATTACTTCTGTAAGTGTTACTTCTATATGTGTTACTTCTGTATTTATTACTTCTGTAAGTGTTACTCCAGTATGTACTACATCTGTATTAATTACTTCTGTATGTGTAACTTCTGTATTAATTACTTCTGCATGTTTTACTTCTGTATGCATAACTTCTGTATGTATTACTTCTGTATGTGTAACTTCTGTATTAATTACTTCTGCATGTATTACTTCTGTATGCATAACTTCTGTATGTATTACTTCTGTATGTGTTACTTCTGTTTTAATTACTTCTGTATGTTACTTCTGTATATTTTGCTTCTGTAGTAATTACTTCTGTATGTGTTACTTCTGTATATCTTACTTCTGTATTAATTACTTCTGTATGTGTTAATTCTGTATTAATTACATCGGTATATGTTATTTCTGTATTAATTACTTCTGTATGTGTTACTTCTGTATATTTTACTTCTGTATTAATTACTTTTGTATGTGTTACGTCTGTATTTATTACCTCTGTAAGTGTAACTCCTGTATGTATTACATCTGTATGTATTACGACTGTATTCATTACTTCTAAAAGTGTTACTTCTGTATGTGTTACTTCTGTATTAATTCTGTATGTGTTAGCTTCTCTTCTGGCTCTCGCAGAGTACAGACGCTTCTGCTTTTGCTCCCTTATCTTTTTTTCCCAAGGCTCTTTGTCCTGTCTGCCCACAGAGCGCTTCTCTGCATTTCTTCTGAAAAACACTATTTTTCAGAAATGGATTTAATTAATTGGTCATTCAACGCGATCGATAAGATTTTTTCCACGTTGAGAACGGAGGAGGTGGCTCCCTCTTGCCCGCGAGAGACACACGCAGCGGGATATATGCTCGATTCCTGGAGGGAATGGAAGATTGTATGCCTCTCTCAGTTGTCCATTGAGGATGTTGAAGATGTGTGGATATTTTGCCTGATGATCACTGGATTTCTTCTGATTGGAGTGGGAGGATATTTGGTCTTCTGGAAATTGGTGAAGATGGGAGCGATTGGAGGGCGTCCCGCACCCACAGAAAGCACTGTCCGTGTGGAGACCTCACAGACGTTAATTCAATTCAATTCAAGTTTATTTACTCGAGGTGAATTGAAAGCCGGACAATGTCCTAGCTGCGTTACCGGTGTTAGTGCGCAAAATGGATGTCATCTCGGAGAGGGTCACCGGACGGTGTGGAGATGTTTAAAACCTGAATTGGCTTCACTGGAGGACTTGAATGATCAGTTACAGACTTCAAGGCAGAGAGGAAAATTATCTCTGCCTGACCCGAACAAAGTCTTGTTATCCGAATCTGACGCCATGGCAGCCTTGTGAATGCCAACAACAAACCCCCACGAAGGAATGCAGACAGATACTGTGAACCCCCCCCCCCCCCCCACCACCACCACCACCTTCGGATTGGTGGACATCAGCCTGGCGAGGTCATCAACCTGCAGGTGTCAATGTGCTCTGTGCTCCTCCCAAGATCTCCCTCCCACCTGTGGCTACAGTGGCTGAGCGCTACAGGGCTGCTCTCGCTGGGGAAACAGGATCCCAGCCCCCCCTCCTTCCTCTTGGGCTCTTATGTTGTGAACTGTTGATGTTCGTGCTTACATGTTTGAGGTGTTTTTTTGTATTGCAAAGCTACGCCCTGCCGGGAGTAACTCTGGAATACCTTTTCTCCCTCCCCCAATTTGTCCTCATGTAATCCCATTTTCATCTAAATGAAATGCTGGCGGCGCGTGCACACGTAGCGACTTCTCTCTCTCTCCCATACTTAGCGAGAGTTTGAGAGTAACGTAATTTCATTTCTCTGTATGTCTTGTACATGTGGCAGAATTGACAATAAAACTGACTTTGACTTCTGTATTTATTGCTTCTGTAAGTGTTACTCCTGTATTTACTACATCTGCATTAATTACTTCTGTATGCGTAACTTCTGTATTAATTAATTCTGTATGTTTTACTACTGTATGCATTACTTCTGCATGTTTTACTTCTGTATGCATTACTTCTGTATGTATTACTTCTCTATGTGTTACTTCTGTATATGTTACTTCTGTATTTATTACTTCTGTAAGTATTACACCTGTTTGTATTACATCTGTATTTATTACTTCTGTAAGTGCTACTTCTATAAGTGTTACTTCTGCATTTGTTACTTCTGTAAGTGCTACTTCTATGAGTGTTACTTCTGTATTTGTTACTTCTGTATTAATTACTGCTGTATATATGGTGTAGCCAAGCCCCACAATGTGGGTGAAAAATTGAGGCCAACGCCGAAGTGACAAAAATTGCAGTTCCACCCTCATCCTCTAGGGGCTGGTGTCAGAAGCGAGCAAATCCTCATTGACTCCCATGTTAAAAATACCAATTTCACAGCAGAAATAAACATGTTTACAGCCTGGTACCAGAACATGTTTTAGGTTTAAATGATCTAGTTTGCACTCATGACAACTTTGAGGGGGGTGAATTTTTTTCTCACTCTTCTGTTTAAGTGTATTAAAAACCTAAAATTCTGTATAATTAATGAGCATCCGACCCACGTGACCACAGAGCTAGCTCATGGTTATTTTGACCATTTTTTATAGTTGCTATGGGTTGTTTTTCCCAGTTAATTTCACTCGTGGTTTCATGTCTGGAAAACTTTCATGACTTTGTGAACTCTCACAGGATTTCCAGGAAATCCCACGAGAGTTCAGGGAGTATAAACGATTGGAGGACCTAAATGTTTGAAAAGCCTGTGTGAACGAAGAAGCTCACGGTTGCTGCAAGTATTTGTCTTGGTTTTCATCTTTAGTATTTGAATGCCATTCTCTTCCCTTGTTGCTATCTCATATGCTGAAATGTTTTGCAGCTTGTGGATGTGCTTTGGAGAGACTCGTGATTTGTATGTGATTGTAACCTGGGAATTGGTGAGTAGCTGTTTAGCTGTTAGCCACAACCTGAAGCTGGCTAACAAACAGTAACCGCTTTGGAGCCTTCACACAGAACCGGTTCCATCTTTTGGACTCCTTCGTATCTAATGGACTCTGTAGCGGACAATGTTGCTAGCTCATCTGGAATAACCTTCTTGGACAGATATGAGTACAAGCTTAAGACTCTGTGTTTCAACTAACTTATTGATCTTTGAAAGTGCACTGCTGTAAATATTGTAAATAACAAAGGAACTAATACAACACATTTGGTTGCACAGCTAGTCTTGTTCTCTTGTTTTTTAAGCACAACTCAAGGTAAATCCTCCCTGAGTGAATTTAGTCTTCTGATCATTCTAGTCTGTCTCTACATTCCAATAAGGATCAATTAGGTAATTTATATACATTTGTGGTCAGAAGTTTACATACACTTGTAAAAAATATAATATAATGGCTCTACTGAGTGTCCCGTTATTTCTAAAACTCTGATTTTTCTCTGATAGAGTGATTGGATCAGATACTTCTTTGTGAAGTTTGGTTCTTTAATATCTTTATTATGGGTTAACAGAGAAAAGTGATCACATTTGCTGGGTCACAAATATACATACAGCAGTGCTAATATTTGATTACATGTCCCTTTGCCATTTTCACTTCAATTAGGCGCTTTTGGTAGCCATCCACAAGCTTCTGGTTGAATCTTTGACCACTCCTCTTGACAGAATTGGTGAAGTTCAGTTAAATTTGATGGCTTTCTGACATGGACTTGTTTCTTCAGCACTGTCCACATGTTTTCAATGGGGTTTAAGTCAGGACTTTGGGAAGGCCATTCTAAAACCCTTATTCTAGCCTGATTTAGCCATTCCTTTACCACTTTTGATGTGTGTTTGGGGTCATTGTCCTGTTGGAACACCCAACTGCGCCCAAGACCCAACCTTCGTGCTGATGATTTGAGGTTATGTTGAAGAATGTGAAGGTAATCCTCCTTCTTCATTATCCCATTTACTCTCTGTAAAGCACCAGTTCCATTGGCAGCAAAACAGCCCCACAGCATAATATTCCCACCACCATGCTTGACTGTAGGCATGGTGTTCTTGGGGTTAAAGGCCTCACCTTTTCTCCTCCAAACATATTGCTGGGCATTGTGGCCAAAAAGCTCGATTTTCGTTTCGTCTGACCACAGAACTTTCCTCCAGAAGGTCTTATCTTTGTCCATGTGATCAGCAGCAAACTTCAGTCGAGCCTTAAGGTGCCGCTTTTGGAGCAAGGGCTTCCTTCTTGCACGGCAGCCTCTCAGTCCATGGAGATGCAAAACACGTTTGACTGTGGACAATGACACCTGTGTTCCAGCAGCTTCTAATTCTTGGCAGATCTGCTTTTTGGTGATTCTTGGTTCACTCTTTACCCTCCTGACCAATTTTCTCTCAGCAGCAGGTGATAGCTTGCGTTTTCTTCCTGATCTTGGCAGTGATGAAACAGTGCCATGCACCTTATACTTACAAACAATTGTTTGCACTGTTGCTCTTGGGACCTGCAGCTGCTTTGAAATGGCCCCAAGTGACTTTCCTGACTTGTTCAAGTCAATAATTCGCTTTTTCAGATCCATGCTGAGCTCCTTTGACTTTCCCATTGTAGCATTTGTGGGCGTTTGTATCCAATGAGCCCTATTTACCTGGCCTAAGAGAAGTCACCAGCTGTAGTCACTCATAATCACTCACAAGAAGTTAAGAGGCCATGCTATGAAGCTCAGTTCACTGACACGTTTCCAAGTCACCTAAATTGCTAGTTCATGTTGCTGTATGTATATTTGTGACCCAGCAGATGTGATCACTTTTCTCTGTTAACCCATAATAAAGACATTAAAGAACCAAACTTCATGAATGTTTTTTGTGACAAAGAAGTATCTGATCCAATCACTCTATCAGAGAAAAATCAGAGTTTTAGAAATAACGGGACACTCAGTAGAGCCATTATATTATATTTTTTACAAGTGTATGTAAACTTCTGACCACAACTGTACATATATGTTACAATTACTTCTGTATATATGTTAGTTTTGTATGTGTTGCTTGTAGCACTATATGTAAGTAATTTCTATGCCTGTTTTATTGAACAACCAGCCCTTGTTAAGGAAACTGCACCAAAATGTATTTACACATGTCAACAAAAATCATTTACCGTAAATCCTCTAATATTAAAGCATGTATTTAATAAACTGCCGGGTATCATATTTTGGCCGGTGTCGGAGTCGTCGGAGGTGAATAATGGCCGTTTTTTTATTGTGGCCGGGTGGAATGTGGTAACAAGCAAGTACGGGGAGCGGTTGTGTCATCCGTTTCACTTTTGATTTGCCAGTGATAGACCGCGAGGGTAACTTTAACCGTGCGGAGACGAAGAGGAGGCGAAAATTTGATATCAAGTTCAAAGAGAACGTGCTGATTATGCTGCAGAACACTGGGGAGCAGTAGCAGGGGTTGTATGAACTAGTCACTAGTCGACTTCACCGCTCTATAGTGACTTGTTATGCCTGTCATCGACTAGTCGCTGTCACGTGATAATGACCGGCAAGATGCAGCCCTCGGAAAAGACAGCAGCCTGCTGTCAGCAGGTGACAGGTGTTGCACCCCGATCCACAGCAGCGAAACGCATCAGGCACAAATAAAAGAATAAAAGACAGAAAACATAAAAGGAAATGAGCCGACATGAACGATTGCGTGTTAAATTAGTTTTTGAGGTGGCGACACCTGACTTGATAATGTTACTGTAGCCGTGCTCAGGACGCAGATGCACTCCGCTGTTTTAGCGGTCGGTAGATCTTTTAGAACTGCAGTTCAAAGGTAACTCATGAGGTGAATATATATGAACCCAGGTAGCAGTTTCTCTTTAGGATTGAGAGGAGATGCAGGAAGATAATAAACAGGCAGGACAGAAAAATAGTCAAATAAAAACAAGTTAGTTTTTGTACCTGCTGGTTGCAACAAACAGACACCACTGAAGGTAATCAGAAGTGAGGAACAGAAAATGAAATAATTATTTTAATGTTTAGAGCAGCAGGAACTCCGAGAGGCTGCAGGTGCATCAGTGAGTTTGCGGCCGCTGCGCAGGGGGAGGGGGGAGAGGGCTGAAGCAGGGGGAGGGGGGGAGAGGGCTGAAGCAGGGGGAGGGGGGAGAGGGCTGAAGCAGAAACTACCGTTGTTAAAAGAAATGTGTTTAACTTTGAAAATGTGGGCACAATTTTAATTGTCAAAGACTCCAGCGAACCATTAGTTCATTTTGCTCAAATAGAAATTGAGGCATGCCTCTAATTCTGGCCCTCCTTCCAATAAAGGCCTGGAGCTTGATGAGCTTGAGTCAAATACAGGCCCGGGCCTGTATTAGAGGATTTACGCCGGTATACCGTTTTCCAGCAAGAAATGTAATTATCTTGTGATAGTGGTGAATTTCTTTAACATACAAAAACTTTTGTTCTTTTGTTTATGTTTATGTTTATGCTTTGCTAATATATTTAGCAAACATGTTTGTCTGAAGTGACGATGAAGCAGCAGGTTGCTCTTGAGGCTAACAAACACTAATCAGCCAATCCTGGGTGGCATTGAGGCAGCAAGATCAATCACAGAGGGAAGTGAATATGGAGTGTGCACTAGAGTGGAGGACAGGTGCTGGGAGGGTCCTAGTTTTGAAGGTGCTCTTTGTTGAAAATCTACAAGGAAGCCCCTGTTCTGGTAGAGCTTGGTAGGTCATTCCACATCTGTGGAACGACGCATGAGAAGAGTCTGGATTGTCCTGAGCGTGGTGTAGGCACTGCTAGCCGACGATCCGTCCACGACCTGTGTGTGTGTGTGTGTGTGTGTGTGTGTGTGTGCGTGTGTGTGGGTGTGTGTGTGTGTGTGTGTGTGTGTGTGTTTTGAATTTTCCTCCTAAATCACAGGTAGTTGATGAAAGACCTTCAGGTGTTTCCAGAGCTTCTTGTCTGTGAGCAGCTTATAGAAGACCACCCTGGACCGTGCGAGGAGCTCCATTAATCCTGAGGACCACGGTGCAGCTCTTTGGTTCCTCTAGTTTTTATGTTACCTTGCAGGCTTTGTCTAACCAGGCGCCCAGAAACGTAGAAACAGGACAATTCGTTCTCCAAAACATCGAATGTTGTTTTGATTGTATTTCGTGTGTTGCTGTCAGTTTTCCCATCGGTGCCTTGCTCTGCCTCGCCTTTAGTGTGCACCCACTGGAGCCCAGGGAGGAAGCCTGGAAAGAACAGATGTGGTCTAACATTCCTGCTTGGCTCTGCCTCAGCTTGCACACACACACACACACACACACACACACACACACACACACACACACACACACACACACACACACACACACACACACACACACACACACACACACACACACACACACACACACA